CTTTGAGTTGCCATAAAGAGAAAGTAATAATTAACAACTTGCCTTTTTGAGTACGCACCGTTTTAGGAAGGATAACCGCCGCTAGAAGGACATAGCCTGGGGTATCAAGAAGGAAACAAGTGCCAGAAAAGAAAAGAAGAGAAGTTAATTAGTACTGCCCAGCTAAATCAATTATACACGCCTCAACTTACCTTTAGTAACGCAAACTTTGGACCGGTGAAGCGACTGATCGCCGTTTTCCGGCCCAACAGTATACATCATGGCAGATATAAATAGAAAGGGTTTAACTAATTAAAATAAAAAGTAATCATTGATATTGTATAAACTTGTAATACTTGTAATTGCATCACTATAATTAATAAACCTACCTTAATTGATTATTAGCCACTATAGGAATCCTAGAAGCCTATAAAGAATTGTGGTAGAGGATCAGACCAGTAATAAAAGAGAAGGGAGTTTATTAACAAGTGTCTCTGGTTAGCAAGCGACACAAACCCTTACATATCTATCGTTATGTGATGACCTAGTCTGAATTAGCAATAGACTTGTTGTGTACCAATAACAGTGTAATAATAATAATTGTCAGTATAATTTTATACTTAAATCTATTTTAGATGAAATATATTTTTGATTAAAACAATTTAACTAAAAAGGCATTGGCTATGTGAACATTGTGGTCAAGAGTTCTCCAAATCTTATACTTTAATACAACACATTTCATTAAAGCATCTGTTTAATCAAGAATTAACAGATCAAGCAATATTTGAGGAGACAGATGATAATATATAGAACTTACCTGCTTATGATCCTAGTGAATATTTAACTATGGATATTGACACTGATGATTCTTTAATGCATAGGATAAATATTGTTAAAATTTTTAAACATTTAAATCAATAATAATCAATTTTTATTATTAGAATAAAAATTTATTCACACTTTCCAAATTTGAATTATTATACAATATTAAATAACTTAATAGTAATAAAGTTAGAAAATATTAATAAATAATTTTAATTCTTTATTAGAAAGAAAATATGTTAACATTATCTTATACCGAAGATTCTTTTATAGATATAGAGTCAATAGAAAATGATTTATTTTAGATTAAATCTGATGAAAAAGATTCTGAAGACTATGAAAGTGCTTCATTTGATGATGCTTTTAATGATTTATAATATTCTAAAATAATTGAATGGCCTAATAATGCTTATCGAGATTTTATAAAACTAATTAATTAGTATCAACTATCTAATGCAGCTGGTAATGTTATAATAAGTTTCTTTAATAAATATTTCAACTTAAATGTATCATCATTGCCATTATTAACAAAGATTGAAAAAAATTTTTAGACACTTCAGCCAATTCTTATATGAAGTTTAAAGAAATTCCTATAATAAGATTTGAGAATATTGAATATAAACTTTATTATTGATTGATAATTAAGGCTATAAAGTCCTTATTAATAATCGATAATATTAATAAGTCTTTAATACTTAAGTATAAAAAAAAATAAAATAAAAAATAAAATTGAATATCAAGTCTTTAAAAACCAATTTAATTCAAATTGGTGAAAGCATGAAGAATCATATTTGCTTCTGAATCACCAATTATTATTGATTATTCTTTATTCAAATGCAACGACTTTAGACTATATGAATAAATCATCTGAATATTTTATTTTTTTATCACTTGGTAATATACCAAACTTTCAAAAAAATAAACTGGAATTTAAAGCATTAATTGGATATCTTTCAATACTAAAAGCCAATAATTCTAAAACAAAAAACTCTGAAAATTTCTGTAAATTACAAAAAGAAGTTTTTCAAAAATTCCTATCAATTATTCTTAAACTCATAACTAAAGAATTGGAATTTCATTTTATAGTTCGTGATGATATAACTACTTTTATCTCATAACTTTCTATAATATTAGCTGATTTACTTGAAGCAAAAAAGTTTTCAAACATTTATTTGCCAACTATTTCTTTCCAGCCTTGCTACTTATGCTTAATATCAAAAAATGATCTAAATAATATAAATAAAACTGATATCTCATATAGAACACCAGATAATATAAGATAAGTGATTAATGATGATAATTATTATTATTATTAAATTTATTCTGAAATAAATGCATTTTGAAAATTAAGATATAATAAATTCATTACTTAAAATTAATATACAGTATATTAAACTAATATAGTTAATATTTTTTTAAAAACTTTAATATACTGTATATAAAGCAATTGTTCCAGATTATATACATATACAGTAGTGGCAGAAAAAACTGGCAATAATAGTGATATATTTAAAATGCTAGTTGTGTTATTACTTAATTAAATAACACGAATTAATTTTATTTACTTTTTTTCTTTGTTACATGGATTATCATATATAAAAATTGTGACTGTGACAGCCCCTTATTAATTTGTACAATGACATCATGCTGCATAAACTTTGCCTTAAAAAATGTCACTCATTAGTTAAGTTGTTATGGAAAGAAAAAATATAAAATGCTAAAGAATTATATCAAATTACCAGGTTCCCCATATGAACGTTGTTTAGATGGGTCTCTCAGCTAAATAAAACAAAAGATTTACAATAAAAAAATCATCCAGGCCATCCTAAAATCCTTAGCCTGAACCAAAGACGTCACTTCAGTCAGCTTACTCATTCACATGCCAATGCGACAAGTCTAGAAATAACAGACACACTTAATAATATCTATTCAGATCTTAACATAGCTAGTTGTATAGTTTAAAAAAACCTCTGGAAGCTTGGTTACCACATATATACCCCAAACTATTCCATTTATCACTGCCATTGCTAAAGAACAAAAGGTTTTGTGAGCAAAATTTTATAAATGAAAAAAATAGAAAAATACAATTTTTTCTAATGAAATGACAATATAAATGTTTTGAAACATTATCCTAGTCCGTTATAAAGCTGGAGAAGAAAAACCAATATGTGGAATTGTCAAGCATCCATTTAAAGTTCATATGTAAGGCCTTCTGTACACACAGAACTGTCAGATTTCATTTATTCACAGAAAATATAGATAGTAAGCTGTATTGTGAAATTCTAACAAATAATCTTTTTAATTAAGCTCAACTGATTTTTGAAAGGTCATGGAAATTCCAGCAGGACAACAACCCCAAATATATGACAAAGCTTATGATCTTCTTTCTCAAAAATCAATGTCCCAAAGTTCTTGATTGGCTATCATATTTCCCAGATTTGAACCCTATAGAAAATATATGGGCAATTTTAAAAAAACGAATAAAAAAAAGAATAAATAAAAAAATTAATGAAAAAAAAAAGGTTTCTCAAGAAATTTTTATAGAAATTATTAAGAATGAATGGGATAATATAGATCAAATACTTTGCTTTAATTTAATAAAGAGTATAAAAAAGCAGATAGAATTAGTAATTTAAAAAAATAATGATTTTATTAAATATTAAGTTTATATTATGAATTATGTAATATTAAATTACTTATATTTCAAATTTGAAGTAATTCTAATAAAAATTGATTAAATAAATAAAATTATTATGTATGTTTATATATAATTATAAAATTAAGATGTCTTTTGCAATATTTTTTAAATAAATTAATTTTATTTATTATTACAGTTCATGGCGATTACAATTTACACGATTTTTTGATCGTCACATGTATATATTTCATGATATGCAGGTGATGCACTGGTGACGCGCAAGACGCACAATGCCGTTGGTGAGATAAGGAGAACAGCCACCCTGTCACTTATTTTTCTTTTATGATACAAGAGAGCTTTTAATGAAAATGATTATTGTTTACTTGTTCGTAATATACAGTAGTATTACATCATACGGCGCGGAGTAACATGTAAACTCCGCAAACAATATAACTCGTGTAATTGCTTATTTTGACTCGCGTCATTTGCACACACGACCTTTATTCCAAATTTAGAAGTTATAATCAACTGCGACTTTCTGCGCCCTAAATATGGTACAATTATGCATGTAATATAAATCAAATATAGGTCTTCCCCATATCGGGACAGTCGTTTGATTTAAGTATAAAAAGGCGAATAAATCTCCCTACTCCGCGTCATTCATTTTCCCTTCGATTAAGTATCTTTAAACTATTTATTTTCATATAGAAGATGTCTGAAATTGTAGTATTTTTAGGTAACTTGAAAACCGCACCCCATGAAGTTCATAATTCCCGTGCAGAGTCGTTGGGATTTACGGTCAAAACCGAAATTACAGAGAATACAAAATACGTCGTGTGTGGTGAGAATGTTGGACCAGGGGTGGACGAAGCTCGAAATTTAGGCCTTACTATACTTGAAGAGGAAGAATGGGAAGACATTCTCGTTGAACGTGAGAAAGAAATTACAAAGATATCCCAAGGGACGAGTGAGAAAAGAACAATTGAAGAAGACGAGAGTGAAAATGATCTCCAAGACACGTTCGCAAAACCCACGACTTATATGGTGGCGGGGAATAGATACTGGGAAATCAGACTCGATGGTCGCAAAACGCATATTAGGACCGGGAAAGTTGGTGAAAGGGGACTTACAAGCATGAAAGAGCATAAAAACTGGGCCGATGCTAAAAAATCAATGACTGACTTGGTGGAAAAAAAGAAAAGTCAGGGGTTTCAAAAGCAACGTAAACCAAAATCCGATATTACTGGGTCTAAAACCGCGAAAAAAAGAAAACAAAAACTTGACGATAGTGATGGTACGTCAAACACAGCATCACCCGTTGACGACGGTAATGAGATGATGGATTTGTCACCTGACGAAAACGTGACAAGTGATAGAGAAAAAGTAAGACGAGATGACAAGAATCATGGAGAAGGTTCCTCAACCATCTCGCCAAAATATAATTTTAAAAAACCTTCCGGTTTGCCATCTTCGATTGTTAAGTCCAAACCAATTTCGATCATGAAAGGCCGCGTACCCGAACTTTTACTTGCTCATTCGTGGAAAGAGGATGAAGTCGATCCAGTTGGATGGTGGATGTCCGAAAAGCTAGATGGTGTAAGAGCATTTTGGTGTGGAAAGCAAGGAAAATTCTTCTCTAGACAAGGAAATTGTTATGTGGCGCCTGAGTGGTAAATAAAATTCTATTTATGAATGCATTGGTCAAAAATAAATTCTAACATGTTACGTTTATTCAAAGGTTCACGAAAGGTAAAATGAGTTACACATTGATATAATATTATGGGAACAGGGTAATTCACATTTGTGTTTGCAGGGTTTCCCCGAGACGTTGATTTGGATGGTGAACTCTTCGGTGGTCGTGGAAAATTTCAATCAACTGTGAGCATAGTGAAAGCTGGAGAAGATGAGTGGAAATCAATAACTTATGAGATTTTTGATGTGCCTTCATATATGAATGCACCTTTTGAGGATCGTATGTCATTCATTGAGGATATGTTTGAAAAACAAAAGTAAGGAATCGTGAGTTGTGTTGGGAGAATTTTTTTTGAAAGTTGTATAAATTCTTTGATTTGATGAAGGCCGGCCTATGGAAGAATCGTTCAACATAGACGCTGTAAATCAGCTAAAGACGTATGGGACGAATTAAAGAGAGTCGAATCGCTCGGAGGCGAAGGACTCATGATAAGAAAACCGAAAAGTGAATATGTGTGCAGTCGTTCAAATGTGTTGTTAAAGGTAAGTTGCACCCAACTATACTTTTATTTACGTGTAGCAAATAATTTATGCTTTCTATTTTCTGCTTTACTGCATTTTTTCTTAAAGGTTAAATCGTTCTTTGATGGAGAAGCACTTGTCGAAGGTTACGAGCCGGGAAAAGGAAAATATCATAATATGACTGGTGCATTAAAATGCGTTATGGCTTGTGGTAAAAAGTTTAAAGTTGGTTCTGGGATGACCGATGAGGACAGAAGAAAGCCACCAAAAATAGGGAGCATCATCGTGTATGTATATTTTGCGAATAAAAAATTGACTGCTTTTATTCCAAGAGTTTATCCCTTATTCGTTCGTATTACGAAAATTTAGGTATAGATGCCAAGAGCTTTCCGACAGTGGGAACCCAAGGTTTCCTACATTCGTTGGAATTGCTGCAGATAAGGATAAGCCCAAGGACCCTGACTTTGGTCACAAGTTGAAAGTCAAGTAATTTTGGTGTCAAATCTATTAGGCGGCGGCACATTAAGCTAAAACATATACAGTATACGAACTATTGTATAATACATACGTATTTTTTTTTTATAACTAAGATATGATTTACCTAGACAACAACTAAGGGTCATTCAAATATGGTCAAATACGCATTGATTTGATTGGTAAAAATAAACAAAATCCTGAAGTTTGTAAATTGATACTTAAGTAATGACGCAAAGAAAATAATATCTTCAATCGTCGTAGTACTGTATATGAAAAGCTTTAGTTACTATTTAATTCGCCTTCCATGCATTATTCCTCTGTACAATTATGGTTAAAGTTCTGGGGAATGCTAAAAAGTAAACTTCTTAATAAGAATTTTCAAAACATATTATCAAGATGTTTTTAAATTTTGTTTAAACAAATTTAAAAGCTTGTTGGTAAATTAATTAAGTAAAACAAATATAACAGAAAATAATTTTTTTTTTTGTAATTTTTTAAGATAATTATTTATTAAATAATTTTTTAACCAATTATTAAGTTTGATAATATTTTTAATAAAAGTTAATTTATAAATTTATATAAATTTTCAAATATAAATTAATTTATAAAGTTTAAAAAATTGATTTTATAATCAAAAATTGATAATTAATTAAAAAATCATAAAAAATTTTTTACTATTAAAAAATATATTTTTAAAAATTAATATGTTTAAATTATAAAAGAAAATATGTTTAAAAATTATTAACTATTATTGTACTTATAATTAAATTTTTTTATTTTTTTAAATAAATTGGTTTTCTAATATAAAAAGATAAAAAAAAATTTGATTTTATTATTATATAATAGTTTTATTCAATTAAAATATAATTAAAACTTAAAAAAATTTTAACATATTTGGAATTTTAAAAATTTTAGAAATTTATTTTAAATATATAAAGTAACAAAAAATAAAAAACAAAATATTTTCTAATTATTGATTAATTATATTATTTAATATATTTACCTATTTTATGTTACTCTCAAATATCTCATTTGATATAATTGTAATATAATGGCAAACAAGTCAATTTTGTTTTAACAACAATAATATAAATAAATATATGTTTATATATATGAAAAATTTTTATTTTATAAATTTCAAATTTAATTAAAATAAGATTAATTATATATTAATAAGAGTTAGGAGTGACAATATAGTATTTGAACTTTATTATATTTTCTGAGCAAATATTCAAATAAGTTTACAAAAAAAAAACAATATAAAAAACACTAATTTAATATGTTTGTGTAATTTAAAAGAATTTTATTATATATATCAATTTTATTTATATTTTTTATTTAAATTTTTTCTTATATCACATTATTATATTTATTATTTATGCAAATACTAATAAAAAAATAAAAGTTATAACAAAATAGAAGATTGAAAATCAAGAAAATTTTTTGATAACTTTCTTAATATGTAATTATCAAAACAACATTTTAAGTCACTAGTATCGATTACCTTTTTCTATAACAATGTACAGAATGCTTATTTAAAATTATTGAATTTATATAAACAAATTATTATTTTAAAATATTAAAGATTTAAAAATTGAAAAAACAAAAAATCTGTTAAATTCAATAATAAAATTTATATATTCAAATAATCAAATAATCAACATACAGTATAAAATTTAATGAATTTAATAAGTTTATATAGACAAAAATAAAAAATAAAAAAAATATCATTCTAACATAACATATTAAAAGTGATATACAGTATAATATATAAGATTTAAAAACAAACGAAGTATTTTTAATCGTTATTAATTTTATTAAAAATATTTTCATGTATTAATTGTCATATTTAAAAAATTTATTACTCAAGATAATATATTATTAATTTGCAAAAGTTCAGTGAGGATTTAATTGATTGACTGCACCATTTAAAGTCTCAAGACCTTTTAATCACAGCATAATTTAATGATTGAATATGCTCAAGTAAGCCTATTACTTACACTCGTTTTTTAATTATTAAAAACATTAATGATATTTATTCTTAGACATCACAACTTGAAGTGCATATTGTAACAGGGAGAAATGGGACGCGACGTTAGTCACATGACCGATCGACGTGACCATGGTAAGTCGGCTGTGAT